AACACTAGTGGGCTGGGTGCAGTGGCTCATGCCTGTAATCCCAACACTTTGGGAGGCTGAGGAGGGCTGATTGCTTGAGTCCAGGAGTTGGAGACCAGCCTGGGCAATAAGGAGAAACCCCAACTCTACAAAAAATACAAAAATTAGCTGGGTGTGGTGGCATGTGCCTGTAGTCTCAGCTACTCAGGAGGCTGAAGTGGGAGGATGAATTGAGTCTGGGAGGTCAAGGCTGCAGTGAGCTGTGAGCGCTCCACTGCATTCCAGCCTGGGTGACAGAATGAGACCCTGTATCAAAACAAAACCAAAACCAAAAACCCCACAAGTGGCAGCATTGCTTGCAATCCCTCTGGGATCACCTTACAAGCCTTCTCTTGTTTAGGTTCCACTCAAAAGTTGGCAGGCTTCTGATTCTCTTGGTTTAAAATAAAATAGAGCGGCACATCCAAATGCAGTAAATCTCTCTACAAATTCCAAAAAAGGTCCATAAAGTGCTTTTTCTCATTCTCAATGGTAGCTGGGGCAAGGGGATACCTCAATATGTCGCAGACCATGGAGCTCCCAGAAACTTCTCTGAATTGATTGACTCCTGAATTTTCTTGCAGCTTATCTCCTGCCCCCTAAGAAACATATGTCTTACCTAAGGTATCTAGATTATTTGGCATTTCCTGTTAATCAGGTCCAAGGGGATCATGGTATGGTCAAGTTGCCTATAAACTAGATTATTACAAGGAGCCAGAATTGACACAGCCCTTAGGCAAAACACTGAAGGTCTACTGCTATTCCTATTTGTTACTTTTGGTTTTCTCTGCTAATTGGGATGAAGAAAAACGCATTTTCCAGATTAAGAATGGCATAATAGGAGCATCAGTCTGTAATAATTTGTTCTAATAAAGAGATGATGTAAAGAGTAGCAGCTACAATTGTTACACCTGACACTAAGGCCCATTAATCTTCTGCACAGACCAACTAGGTGAGTTTAATGTGGCTATCATAGGAATCACCTTTTCTGCCATTTTCAAGTTTTGATCATGGCACAAAACTCACAATTCCTCCAGGAGGTTGGTAATGCTTTGGTTTACTATTTTGGTAAGGAATAGGCCATTCCATCATATTTCACTTGGCCCTCTCTACTATAACATTCCTTATTGCCCATGCTGCAAGCATCAGGGAGACATTATGAGGATTCTGACATTTGCTGAGTAAGTCCTTCAAAGTATGCATTCATGAATTAAGGAAATGACTACAGGGAGAATTTGCAGTCATTCAGCACGCCAGAATACTGATTTAGCCAAAACTTCACTTACTATCTGACCCCTCTAAACCTCCACCCTGTTGGTGGAACACAGAGTTATTCAGGTCCCTAAGGATCAGAATCACATCAAAGCCATTGCCATGAATCCTGAAAAGTAAGGGTACCTCCCTTTCCCCATTGTAGTCATCTGGGTAAACAACCTCTCATCTCCTTAAGGAAGGTAAAGGAAATTTAGGAAGGTAAGGAAATTTAGTCCATACTTGTGGCTGAGTGACAGGGTTTTTCCTCAAGGATACCTGGCCTCCCCTTCACTCAATAAGTTCTGGGTATGTAAACTGGCTAAGGTCTAGTAATTTAATAAGGGGATGTGAATATTCATGTGGTTATTCAAGGCAGATGTCTATTTATGAAGACTAAAAATAATTTTTGGTTATACAGACCAAGAGCTTACTGGTACGCTTATCCACTTCAGTCTCAGGAACATCATGATTAGTCTTAGGGACACCTTGGCAATTAACTATTGTCAAGGATTTCTTAATCATACATCCTTACGATCACTCTGGTACTGTTTTCTCTTATATAGTAAAATGCTGTAAATTGGCTTCTATCAGGGATACTGTCATCTCTAAAGAAATCAAGTAGGCCAGGTGTGGTGGGTCATGCCTGTAATTTCAGCACTTTGGGAGGCTGATGCAGGTGGATCATGAGGTCAGGGGTCCAAGACCAGCCTGGCCAAGATGATGAAACCCTGTCTCTACTAAAACTACAAAAATTAGCTGGGTGCGGTAGAAGGTGCCTATAATCCCAGCTACTCGGGAGGCTGAGGCAGGAGAATCTCTTGAACCTGGGTGGCGGAGGTTACAGTGAGCTGAGATGGCATCACTGCACTCCAGCCTGGGCAACAGAGTGAGACTCCGTCTCCAAAAACAAAAACAAAAACAAAAACAAAAATAAAAGAAATCAAGTATAGTCCTGTCTTCATTCCATGTGACACAAAACAGCCACTATAAGGTTTTTTAAAAGAATTCTGGGGTTGCGTTTCCAATATATTTCCCCAATGTCTGGTTAAAGAAGTAAGTGGATATAAATCTTCTCTTAACATTTTTATTTCCCAAAGTCTTTAGATTTCTTGCTCTACTTTTTAACAAGAAATTCCTGGCATTCTAAATTTACTCAGTATGAACCACCATATTGTCCAGGTTTCTGTCAGCCTCACTCAATTTAGCAAAATGTTTTTTACCACTCACAGTTGCTGGAGCTAGCACATTAAATCCAGAATCTCTGATAAGTGTATCCATATTATTAAACTTGAGCCAATTTAAAGTTATATTCTTTCATTCCTGCTCTGAATCTATTCCCAATAATATTTTTCTAAGTTTCTGCTAGCACAAATTAACAAAATATTGCAGTTCTTTTGCAATAATCAGTCTGAGATTCTCATTTGTAAAAGTTTTTGGCCCATATCACACTTTCTGTACCAAATACTGAATCAGTTCATGTAGGTTTAAGCAGGAAGAAATGTAATAAAGGAAATCAAGTGTATCAGAAACACTGGAGGAGCAGGTTCTAGGTCTAGTCTCCTAAAATGATGTTTCCATTAGTGAAGTTACCATTGTTGAGGCCATCACCAGAACTATGCTGAAAGCAAGAAGCCATCATTGTTATTGCCATTACAGCTTCTCACACTCAGAAAGCTGGAGGAAAAAACACTTAATTCATGACAAAAATAGAAAGAAAGAGTAAAACTGTTGTTATTCACAGATGACATGAATATGTATGTAGACAGTTCTGAAGAATCTACAAAAAAAACCTGATAGAATTAATTGAATTTAGCAAAATCTCAATAGACAAGTTCAATGTATAAAAATCAATTACATTTCTATAAATTAGCAACAATTAGAAAATAAAAATTGTAAAATACCTTTCTACAGAAGCTTCAAAAATACCAAATACCTAAAAATAAATGTAATATTAAAAGATCTAGGAGCAATACACTAAAACCACAGACACTGCTGAAAGAAACTAGTGACATAAATAGAGAAATATACTGTGTTCATAGATTAGACGATTCAGTATAGTTAGGATATAAGTTTTCCTCCCAAATTGATTGACAGATTCACAGTGATTTCATTCAAAATTCCAGTAGTCTTGTGGTAAGAAATTGACAAGCTGATTCTAAAATTTATACGAAAACACAAAGAATCTAGAATCACCAAAATGATCTTGAAAAAAATTAACTTGGAAATCTTACGCTATCTTATAACAATAACTACTATAAAGCCTCAGTAATGAAGATAATGTGGTATTGGCATAAGGATAAAAAAAAATCATTGAGCAGAAAGGGAGGCTAGAAGTTGTCCTAGATCTTATAGAGTCAACTGAGTTTTGAATAATGCAATAGGAAAAATAAAGTCTTAACAAATGGTGTAGTAAGTGGGTATCTGAGGATCTCAACTGAACCACAACCCCAACCTAATTCTGCATATAAAATTTTGAGATTAGTGGTTCTCTTCAAATTACCTCTATTTAACAAAAATTATCACTGAGAGTGCAACAGAAAGGAGGTCTTGATTGTTTGAGGAGAAAGTATGACAGAGGTGTCTAGAAGAATAGTAATGGACCAAGAAAATGTATTATATTTGTTGGCAGAATTAAAGACTCATTTGAAGTTTGTGGTTTATTAACTATGGTTGGAATTTTGTCCAATGAGTATGAAAGACATAACCATGGAAACATTAATGTAACTTTCTGTGTTTTAATTTTCTCATCTGAAAATAAGGATAACAGTACCTCCACAAATAGTTGTTGAATTAAATGAATTAACATACATAAAGCATTTAGAACAGTGATTGGCTCAATAAATGCTATCTAATTGTTTGTTGCTATGTTATTAGTAGTATTATTTAGGTAGGTAGTTATTAAAATGGTTAAGACTATGAACTCTGAAGCCAGTCTACACTATTTAGGATCTAAGCCCAGCTCTAGTACTTACTAACTATATGTATGACCTGGGAAAGCCATGGAACCTTTCTGTGCCTCAGTTTCCTCATCTGCAAAATGGAAATGATAACTATAACCTATCTCATGGAGTTTCTTTTATGGGGATTAAATGAGTCAGTATGTGTAAAATACTTAGAATAGTGCCTGGTAGTTGATACTCATTGATAGCTATTATTAAAATTAGTATTGTTATTCTTAAGACTGTCCTAAATTCATCCTGCAAATATCTGCAAAATTCTCCTAGTCTTTCCATCATTTCTTGAGAATAAACTGGTGATGTGAATAGTGTTCATTAACTCGTTTAACCCAGCGCAATTCAAATTAGGTAACATACCCAAGATCACACAGCTAGTAACTATAACATAAACAATTTACTACTATACTGCTTCTTAACACACTATATAATTCTGTTCTAAAGAGACAAGTTAATCAAGTACAGGTATTAATATATTAAATTACAAATTAGCAATGAAAGTTGCTAGTTAAGTGCAGTTTGATGTACCTTTAAAACTAGTAATAAAATTTGAGAAGATAATCCAAAAAGGTGTTAGTGGGTAACTTTTCCCCCTTCTCATTTGGGCATATTGTTACCTTATTTATAAAAACAGAAAAATTGAACTACTATTGATAATATTAGAAGTATGTTCCTGGAAAACTTAGACATTTTAATCTGCAGATTCAGTTTAATCTTAGTAAAAATATTATAATGTTGCAATACCATATTTCAACAAAAAATTTAAAATAGTACCTGATTGTCCTGTCTTCTACTGATAGCTGTATCATCTTCATTGTCCCAGAGACACTGACTTAAAGGAAATGACAGGTTTGAAAGTCATTAAAACATGATCCCATGAATATTAGCTTTTCATATTTTATGTATTTTATTTGATGCTCTGTAAACACAAATATTGAAAATTTTCAAAGTCAGCCTGAGACCATTATCATATGTCCTTTCAGACTCATTAGTAATCCATGTAAAGCTACAATTTAGTATGAGTAATAAAATCATATTTCACTATATTATAACTAAATTCTAGTTCAATATCTACAGCAAGATAAAATTACTTGAAATTTTAGAAACATATTTGTTTATTGTTCTTTTGTGAATAACTGTTTATAAAAACCCTTATCTTAATTTCAAAAGACTGTGTAAAACTCTAGTCTAACTACTACAATTTTGAATGAAATGATACCAGTGTGAAAATCAAGCATATTGATTAGTTTACATATAACCAAGAACTTAGGAGAGGCAGGATAATTAGTTCTAATGAAGGGAAACAAAGAAATTTTTCTGTCATCAAGTTGTCCCAATGATAAAAGTATTACAATAGAAATAAATTTAGGCTATGAATCATCCCTCATTATCTTGGAGAGGAATGTTGGCAAAAAAACAGTAAAGATCTGAATCAAGATAATTTTAATTAAAATATCACTAATTTCACTCATATCTTTAAGTAAAAGTCTTTATAACAGTATTCTGAATAGCTTACTCTTTTTCTTATTGTTTAGATTATGGCATGCGGAATCAGCATCTATACTAATTACCTTTTTTTGGTGCCAAAGCAATCATTATTTGAATCTTCCAATGATCTTGGCAACTCAGAATTTCTAATTTGATTTTTTGCAATCTGGCTTTTTTCCGCAGTGGCTTTTCCCCCAGCTGATGCTGATAGTCATCCATGGCAAATAAAGTTCAGAATGTTAAGAAAATACTAAAACAAACTTTTGTTTTTATATGTATACATTATAATCTTATCCTAGATTTCAGAATCCCCGTGTACTTTCCTATATAGATACAAGTCAACAGTTTCCAAAGTGAATTTCATGAAATATTAGTTTATGTGAAAAGGAAATTATTTGGTTAATTCAGCTTGGGAAATGTTGAATTAAGCAATATCAAACAGCAACACAATCCCCTACACACACATTCACTCCGATTGAAGGGTTTGTCTGTCTCTGTGTACAACTAAGTCTGCAAGAGCTGGTAGGTAAGATGGGGGTTTCCTGAAATTTAATTGTCTTTTTTTTTCTTTTTTTTTTTGAGATAGAGACTTGCTCTGTCGCCCAGGCTGGAGTGCAGTGGTGCAATCTCGGTTCACTGCAGTCTCCGCCTCCCAGGTCTGAGTGATTCTCCTGTCTCAGGCTCCCAAGTAGCTGGGATTACAGGCATGTGCCACCACGCCCAGCGAATTTTTGTATTTTTAGTATAGACAGGGTTTCACCACGTTGGCAAGGCTCGTCTTGAACTCCTGACCTCAGGTGATACGCCCATCTTGGCCTCCCGAAGTGCTGAAATTACAGGCATGAGCCACCGCGTTTGGCCTTAATTGTCTTTACAAACAATTTGCCAAAGCAGTTTTTGAAACAGTGCTCTGAGGAACCTTCTCTGGAAAATGCTGGTATAAATACAGAACATAAAATGTCATTTTTATTTCACATACATTTTCATGGATAAAATCTCCCTTCATTTTAACAGCATTTCTCAATATAGAAAAACTACACAATCCATCTTTGAAATATTAACACTAATGTTCTACATGGTCTATATAAACAAAAGATCCATGAACCTGGCAGTATTAATGCAGTTTTTTTCCCTTGGAGAAATCAATTTTTTTAATTCAGAAAAGAATAAGTGAGCCAAATTAATATTTGAAAGTCATTTTACAAGGGTTGTTGCTGGGCATGGTGGCTCATGCCTGTAAACCCAGCACTGTGGGAGGCTGGGCAGGAGGGTATTTCGAGCCCAGTAGTTCAAGACCAGCCTGAGCAACATCTCTACAAAAATTTAAAAAACTCTACAAAAATAAATTAGCCAGGCATGGTGGTGCATGCCTGTGTTCCCAGCTACTTGGGAGACTGGGGTGGGAGGATGTCTTGATCCTGGAAGGTTGAGGCTACAGTGAGCCATGATCACACCGCTGCTCTCCAACCTGGGCATCAGAGCAAGATCCTGTCTCAAACAAAAACAAAAACAAAACAAACAAACAAACAAAAAAGACTTGCCACAATATTGTGCGACCTGGAGCCCATATTGGTTTTTGTTTGGCTGCTACAATTTATTACCCACTTGGCATTGAAATTGTCACTTAAGAACAACAAACAGAGGCTGGGTGTGGCAGCTCACGTCTGTAATTCCAGGACTTTGGGAGGCCGAGGTAGGTAGATCACTTGAGGTCAGGAGTTCAAGATCAGCCTGGCCAACATGGTAAAACCCTGTCTCTACTAAAAATACAAAAATTAGCCAGGTGTGGTGGCATGCACTTGTAATCCCAGCTACTTGGGAGGCTGAGGCAGGAGAATAGCTTGAATCCAGGAAGCAGACACTGCAGTGAGCTGAGATTGTGCCACTGCTCTCCAGCCTGGGCTGGAAAGAGACCCTGTCTCAAACAAAAAACAAAACAAAACAAAACAAAACAAAAAAACAGAAAAGATCTATATAATGCAAAATGAATAAAAAATGGACGTACCAAATGTGTAAAAGTTAATAGTAAACTACAACTCTCCCTACCCATCCATAAAAGAAACAATAATGTAGACCTCAGTGTTTTGAGAACTCCAGCAAATATATGTTTAAAATATGATAGAGTCACAGAAAATGGAGTGATAACTGTGAAACTAAGTTTTGAACTATGAGCTGTTTGGTGGCAAAGAAGGGAGCAAGAGGATTTTAAGCAAAGAATACGGTATGTGCAAGGAGCAGAATACTAATAATGTGTGAAGCATTTTTATCCATAATGAAAAGTTCAGTATGACTCTAGCACAGTGTTATAAAGCATGGGCTTTAGTCAGACACACAAGAGCTCAAGCCCTGGCATGGCCATAACATGTATGACTTTAGGTAAGTTATTTCTCTAACTTCTCTTTCCTTATCTCTAAAATGGCATAATGCACATAAAGCACCTAGCACACTGTCCAATCCTGAGAAGTTTCTTGACTTTAAGTTCTGATTTATATCCCATTGCCATTTTCTTAGTCCCTATTTTCCATCTCGTCACCTAAGTTGTTTTTCTAGAACTAAAATCCAATCATGCCACTCAGTTAAAAACTTCAGATTGGCCGGGCGCGGTGGCAGAGAAACCCTGTCTCTACTAAAAATACAAAAAACTAGCCGGGCGAGGTGGCGGGCGCCTGTAGTCCCAGCTACTCGGGAGGCTGAGGCAGGAGAATGGCGTAAACCCGGGAGGCGGAGCTTGCAGTGAGCTGAGATCCGGCCACTGCACTCCAGCCTGGGCGACAGAGCGAGACTCCGTCTCAATAAAAAAAAAAACAAACTTCAGATTGCTTCCCATTACCTACTAAACTCTTTAGCTTTGCAAGCAAGGCTCTTGTAGCTCAAGTCGCTACCTACCTCTCCAGAAGTACCAATTCATAGTACTTCTCTCCCTCCCTTTCCTAATCTCATACTATTATAACAGTAGTATTACTACTAATAATTTTATAAAAAAATTACTGAACTAACCCCAACATTAAGTAAATCCTGAAAGCTTCATTCATATCACGATCTATGAGAAGGAGGCCTTCTGGAGATAGGCACTAAACAATCTCCATGGCCATATGCTGTAGCCCTGGGTTTGAAGAGTTCTCTATGCCATCTTAAGAAGGTTAGGCTCGGCCAGGCTTGGTGGCTCACACCTGTAATCCTAGCACTTTGGCAGGCCAAGATGGGCGGACTGCCTGTCCCAGGCCAGCGGATTGCCTGAGCTCAGGAGTTCAAGACCGGCCTGGTCAACATGGTGAAACCCCGTCTCTACTAAAATACAAAAAAATTAGCCGGGCGTGGCGGCGTGTGCCTGTAGTGCCAGCTACTCAGGAGGCCGAGGCAGGAGAATCGCTTGAACCCAGGAGGCAGAAGTTGCAGTGAGGCGAGATTGTGCCACTGCACTCCAGCTGGGGGGACAGAGCGAGACTCCGTCTCCAAAAAAAAAAAAAAAGTTTAGGTTTCAGTCAGGCGCAGTGGCTCACGCCTGTAATCCCAACACTTTGGGAGGCCGAGGCGGGCGGATCACCTGAGGTCAGGAGTTTGAGACCAGCCTAGCCAACATGGAGAAACCTCGTCTCTACTAAACATACAAAAATTAGTTGGGTGTGGTGGCAGGCACCTGTAATCCCAGCTATCAGGAGGCTGAGGCAGGAGAATTGCTAGAACCTGGGAGGCGGAGGTTGCAGTGAGCTGAGATCGCACCACTGCACTCCAGCTTGGCAACAGAGCGAGGCTCCCTCTAAAAACAAAAACAAAAACAAAAACAAAAACATATTACCTACATTCTCCCCAAACTTTATTATTTATTATAAATTTCTTCTCTAAAATGTCATGTTTCAGAAGGGATAGCATCTGTTATCATTTTTGTACCATTACAGTTACTGTCTAAGAACACAGTAATTGATTACATATTTACTCATTGATATGTTAAGACAGTTATTAATTTTCAACAAATATTTATTCAGGACTGTGGTCTAGGCACTGTGTTTGACTCTGAGTAAGTAGCAATACTTGTCCTCAAAGAGTTTATAATATTTATAAAAATTTTTAAAAACTGGATTTCTTTCCAACAAAATGACAAATAAACCACAGAGGAAATAAAAGTTCAAACCAAAACTATTGAAAAAATTATTTATATTTATTTGTGTGGCAATTTACAGATACAAAGCAGTTTCACATATGATATCCAATTTTGAACCTCACAATAAAGAATAATAATATTGAATGGGAAATCACCCTGCCAGATATATAAAAAATATTAATGTCAGTACTAGTTCAGAAGATGGATAAAGTCTGAAAGTGGTCTTGTATATATAAGAATATAGGTATGAATATATATATATATTTATATATATAGTGTGGTAAAGGTGCCATTTGAAATCAGTGGGGAGGGAATGAATGATATTTTGGAATAACTGGAAATGCATTTGGAAGAAATCTATACTACCTCATTCTTTATTTTTTCCAGAATGTGGAGCAGAGAAACAAGAGGACAGAAAATATATGACATAATGGCAAGATTATGGTTCAGTAGGAACTTTTAGACATTGCTGCTGGGTACTATCGCTTTGGAAAACACATGGATGTTTAGTGAAGTTGAACACGTACATGAACATTAACAACAAACAATGCCAATTCTCTTGCACATGCACATTTAGGACTTGTGTACAAAAATGTACATAACAGGATATTTGTAATAGTCCCAAGCTGCAAACAAACCAAATGTCCATCAGCCATAGAATAGATGAATAAATTGTAATGTAAATAAATTGTATGAATATAAAATGGAATAGCACAACAATGAAAAGAAATAGTGTTACATGTGACGGTATGGTTGACTCTTACAATGTTGAGTTTCTCTTACTCAAGTTCAAAATGATATACATAAATAAAATTCAAAACAGACATAACTAAACTATATTATCAAGGGATATATATCTCAGTTGTAAAACTACAAGGAATTCTTATGATCAAAAGAATCATAGTGTAAAAAGATAAACCACAAATTAAAGTTAAGAAAATAATTCAAAATAAGTACTACCACCAGAGATAAAGAGAAACATTACATGAAATAGGGGTCAATTTATCAAGAAGACATAATAATCCTAAATATGCATGCACCTAATAACAGAGCTTCAAAATACAGAAAGCAAAAGAAAAGCAAGAAAACGATTACCACAAATATCAAAGCAGTAGTTATCTCTACTGGAGAAGGAAGAAGTGTGACCAGAGAAAAACACACAAGGTTGGAAGGTCTAGGAACAATGACAACAATACTACGTTACCTTAGAAACAGCAGTTAAACTTCTAAAAATAACAATAGGACAAATGCATGAAACTGCATTTAGAAAAGTGTTGCTCTGGCCTGGAGCGGTGGCTCACGCCTGTAATCCTAACACTTTGAGAGGCCAAGGTGGGTGGATTACCTGAGGTCAGGAGTTTGAGACCACCCTGGCCAACATGGTGAAACCCCATCTCTACTAAAAATGCAAAAATTAGCTGGAGATGTTGGTGCACACCTGTAGTCCCATGTACTAGGGAGGCTAAGGCAGAAGATTTGCTTGAACCTGGGAGTGAGAGGTTGCAGCAAGCCGAGACTGTGCCACTGCACTCCAGCCTAGGCAACAGAGCGAGACTCCATCTCAAAAACAAAAAAAAAAATGTTGCTCATTGCACTATACATGATAACAGAAACATTAATAAAGGGTTGGGGAAGTAAATTATGACATAGGGAATTATATAATGACATAGATCTATATTTATTGATATGAAATGTTTATATTTTAAAATAAAAGAGGCTTTAAGAGTCTATGTGTCTTCATTTTTGAAAAATAAAAACATATTATTTATATATAAGAACTAAAAAATAACTGGAAGAATATACATCAGAATTCTAAGTAGTAGTAATCTCTGACTAGTAAAATTATTGTCAGTCTTTATTTTCTTCTTTACATTTATTAGTAAAAGTATACTTTATACTTATTTTCTTCCTTATACTTACTGATGTTTCTAGAACTTTTAAAATTGAACACACTGTCCTCTCATTTAAAGCATATAAAGTTGACTATAGTCTAAGAATCAATAGGAAAAAAATTAGTTTAACTTTTAACTTTTTTACCATATTACATTAAAAAATAAACTGTGAAGGAAAAGCAGATATACTAAACATTTACAAATGAAATGCATCCCCCAGATGTTGACTAAAGATATCTATTAAAGCTGTAGAATATAGTAGTTCTTAATCAGTTACATTTCTTGTATTCTAAATTTATGCTAAACCCAACAATGTTCCAAAGTTAGTACTTGCTTTCATCTTAGGCGCATTTAATATTTACTGTTTATTACTTGACACCAGTTAGATGCTCAGTGAGTTTAATTTTAATTTTAATTTTTTTTTTTTTTGAGACGGAGTCTCGCTCTGTCACCCAGGCTAGAGTGTAGTGGCGCTATCTCGGCTCACTGCAAGCTCCGCCTCCTGGGTTCACGCCATTCTCCTGCCTCAGCCTCCTGAGTAGCTGGGACTACAGGCACCTGCCACCATGCCCGGCAAATTTTTTGTATTTTTAGTAGAGACGGGGTTTCACAATGTTACCCAGGATGGTCTCGATCTCCTGACCTCGTGATCCGCCCGCCTCGGCCTCCCAAAGTGCTGGGATTACAGGAGTGAGCCACCATGCCCAGCCTGAGTTTAATTTTTATGTAAACATTTTAAATTACCTGTTTTTTTTTTTTTTTTTTTTTGAGACAGGGTCTCTTTCTGTCACCCAGGCTGGAGGCTGATAGTGCGATCTCAGCTCACTGCAACCTCCCCCTCCCTGGCTTAAGCAATCCTCCCACCTCAGTCTCCTGAGTAACTGGGACTACAGGCATGTGCCATCAGACCTGGCTAACTTTTGCATTTTTTATAGAGACAGGGTCTTGCCATGTTGCCCAAGCTGGTCTCAAACTCCTGGGCTCAAGTGATCCACCCACCTTGGCCTCCTGAAGTGCTTATTACAGGTATAAGCCACCACTCCTGGCCCCTATCACTTTTGAAGAATCAAATTATTAGTAATTATTAGTAAATTGATAGGTGTAATCAGATAAAAATTTTAACATTATTTGAAATACATATGTTCCCCAACATTAAAGTTTTGTTTTTGTTGTTGTTTGTGTTGGTTTGATATTGTTTTCCTGACCCTTCTGGTCTCTGAGTCATATCAAAGTTTTATGCAGTCATCTTTCCTTTCTCTTTCCCTGTAGCTTTACTTTTATCTAAAACTACTTTATTAAAAGAGAAGTAAAGGTGGTAATATTCATTTCAGTGCTGTAACTATTTTGATTTTGTTTTTATTTTAACATAGTACTTAAATTGTTTTCTTTTCCTCCCATCTGGCAAAATTATTTTTTTAGAAATCCCCAAGTGGAATTGTAGCTTTCTTTTTATACTGCCTATATTTGTAAGGCTAGGTTTGCTCAGGGTTTGCTTACAGACTTACTGCTAAAATGTACTATAATAGCCTCTTTCTTTTTCCCATTCCAGTTTAAAATCACCTTCTTCCTGATTCTTGTTAGGAAGCTCTTTCAAAGTGTTTTCTAACAAACTGGGATCTCTTCCAAGTTCCTCCTTGAACAAAGTTACACTAATTGGTCTGTGGATTGTTCCATCAGCCTCATTAGCACCATTATTAGTCTGCTGCTCATCTAAAATAACTGTTGATGATGGTGAATAGATATTTCCTAAATGGTCCATTATAGGAAGCAAATATAATTCTGGTTGAAGAGCCTAAAACATATAGGAAATTTTAAAAGTTAGTTTGTAATTAAAAGCAGTGCTGTAAGTTAAAAATTAGCATAAGTTTAAAATGTCACATTACATACATATGGAGGAGCAAATGATTTGAGTTTCAGTTCTGATTCTTGCTTTTCCTTCACCTAGAAATAAGTAATGAGAAAAAATTAAAACTGTTGCTACATTTTTTTTTCAATTATTTTTACCTCTACTTTTTTTGCAGAAGGCATGTATTTGTGGCAAATATAAAAATCAAATTTAAAAGCTAGTAACTACTGCTAGATTCTAGAAATGAAGAATATAATGTTACTTTTATTCACTGTATCAAACATAATAGAAGTTCTATGTCATTTATTAATAATAACTATGCCTATCACTTACATGGACTTACTATGTCCCTGGCACTATTCTAAGTGCTTTACACTCAGTAAAGATTGTATACCTAGGAAATTTCCAGGTTGGGATTCAAAACCAGGTCATCTGACCCTAGAGTCCAACTTAGTAAACTTTATTTTATTTCCTACATATTCAACCCACAGAGTTCATTTGTTATTTATTTATTTATTTAACAAATATTGGGGGACTGGGCATGGTGGCTCACGCCTGTAATCCCAGCACTTTGGGAGGCCAAGGAGGGCAGATCACTTGAGGTCAGGAGTTCGAGGCCAGCCTGGCCAACATGGCGAAACCCCATCTCTACTAAAAATACAAAAATCAGCCAGGTGTGGTGGCTCCCCCAATTACTCGGGAAGCTGAGGCAGAAGAATGGCTTGAACCTGGGAGGTGGAGGCTGCAGTGAGCTGAGAGTGCACCACTGCACTCCAGACTGGGCAACAGAGGGAAACTCTGTCTCAAAAACAAAACACAAATATTGAGGGCATACTATCTGTCAGGCAGTGTTCTACATGGTATGGATACAATGATAAATATGGCAAAATTTCTGCTTTCATGGAGCTTATGTTCTACTTGGGAAAGCAGATATTAAATAACTAAATAAACCCAATTTAGGATGGTGATATGTGTTTTATGAAAAGAAAATAGAGTGATGTAATAAAGAGTAACTTGAAGAAAGAATGTCTGAAAACTAGTTGGTCAGGGAAGGCCTTTCAGAAAAGATAATACTTGAGCTAAGTCCTGAATTATGAAAAGAAACAGCCAGCTATCTGAAAATCAGGGAGAAATGATTTCTAGGCAAGTGCAAGGACCAAAAATCAGAAATGAGTCTGCCATATTTGAGGACCAAAGGAAGATTTTTATAGCTGAAGTATGAAACCAAGGAGAAAATGGTCATAGATGAAATTTGAGAGGCAGCTTGTTCCTTAGGCCCTCATTATCTCTTGCCTGAACCACTGTATAACTTTCTTACTGAAATTCTTGCCTCCTCACTTCAATCCATCCTTCTCAGTGAGGCCCAATTAATTTTACTGAAGGTTCTGATCATGTCACTCTTAGTCAAAAACTCCATGGTTTCAAGAAAAAATCCAAACTACAAATCTGGCATTTGAGAACTTCAACAAATGACTTTATAACTTGCATCCCACTATTTCCTTTCATGTAGTCAATGCTCCACTAAAAACAGCATCATTTATTATTTCTGAGTTGTCTGCATTTCTACTTCTGTGCTTATCCTGTTTTCTCTGTTCAGAAAGCTTTTCTCACCCTTCATCTTTGCAAGAACAAATATTTTTCTTTTAGGATCCAAACTGAAATATTGCTTCTTCCTCAAAGTTTTCTACCTCCCCTCTTCCCCTGCTGGAAGTAATCTCCTTTTCTTCTGAATATATAAAATATGATATTTTATTTATTTATTTTATGTATTTTAATCTTCATCACTACACTGAGCACTCTGAGGGCAAGATCTATATCTAGTTCTTTTCTAGTTTTGTATATAGAAAAACGTTAATAAATATTTGTTTAAAATAATAAAATATTACAAGGATTTTAGAAATTGACCTCAATTACTTAGAAAGTCCCTTTCAATCTGGGATTCTATGATTGATATTTTGTACATATACGTATCATGAAAAAGAACAAAAAATTATGAGAATTGTTAATTTTCTTCCGTTTGAGGAAAGCTAACTAACTGATCAGTAAATTAATATTAATATGCCAAAAGTTATACTAAATAGAATTCTGATGACCAAAACCTCTTCAAATTTAGCTACTGATCCCAAGAATCTCACACAGCAAATTATAGTAGTACTTTGGAAGAAAATGCCTATTTTTTCCATTCTCATTCATGATTTAATTTGTTCAGTAAACATTTAAACACCTCTAGTGCAAAGCACCTTGTTAGGCACTGGTTATAAATACAATGGTGAATAAAATGAAGTCCCTCCCCACAAGGAACTATAATCTAATAGTAGAGTTAGATGTTAAGCAAATATTCACATAAACACATAATAATGATATAATCTGTTAATGACAGTGAAATAAGAATATGCTGCATTTTAAAGAGTTTAAATATAGAAAATCTTAAGGAAATAAAATTTATATAGATATGAGAGACCAGAAACTTTGAGATCTGATGGCTTGTTAGATTTGAAACTTAAGCTAGGAATACTTTCTACTTAGAGTATTCTGCCCACTAAGTCATAGAAACTAAAAATAAGAGTGTTCAGTAAATAATAGTTGACACTAGTCAGGGATGGTGGCTCACACTTGTAATCCCAGCACTTTGGGAAGCTGAGGCAGGCAGTTCACCTGAAGTCAGGAGTTCCAGACCAGCCTGGCCAACATGGTGAAACTCTGCCTCTACTAAAAATACAAAACTTAGCTGGGTGTGGTGTCACACGCCTGTAATCCCAGCTACTCGGGAGGCAGGAGAATTGCTTGAATCTGGGAGGTGGAGGTTGCGATGAGCCAAGATTGCGCCACAGCACTCTAGCCAGGGCAACAGAGCAAGACTCCATCTAAAAAAAAATAATAATAATAAAAAATAAATTAAAAAAACCGTTGACACCAAAAAAAATATGTTGGAGCCATATCATTTTCACATCAAATGAGTCTAGTTGTGGCGCAAGCAATGAGAACCCCATTTTTTTTTCCAGAACTCAAGTACTTGCTTAAAACACTTAAAAACTTTCATTTAAATTTAAGAACTTATATGATCACATTTTAAACTGGTATTTCTCTGCTTTGCAAGGAAATTCACACACAGAAAACCCATCATTTTCACGCCCAATAACATGCCCATGCAACCTATCTTTGTTGATCTGTATGTTTAATGATATTTCCATTTCGTTTTGATTGATATTACATATCTAATAATATCTTAAGAAGCTGAGTTGATAAGCATTTAAGAAATATAATTTGAGAAGGTATGGTCTTTCTCAATAAGAAAGAAAAAAAAGAAAACTTACCACAGCTAAATTATTTCCAATGCATTTCAGAAATAAAAATTTTTCTGCAATAGCATCTTCACCCAGGAATTCACCAAGACGCTCCCTCAGGGCTCGTAAAGTAAGTTGAGGAGATACTCTGAAATATTATAAAATTGCCTTACAATATAAAATAAAATAGATTTTGGATATACTAATGATTCAATAACTTTAGTCAGCTATCTCAAACACAAAGGTTGATTTGATGTGTCAGATATAGCTTAATATATTATGTTTCTACACTGCTGGCATTTTATAGGTCTTCCATAAATATCTCTTAAAATAAATAATTAGAAGTCTGCCTTTAAAATTACGCAAATAAACACTGTTTATAAATGTTTTGTACTGAAAAGGAAAATGACTGTCTCTTAGAAATCTACTTCCAAATTTTATTGTTAAAATTTGCTGTGGAATAGATGTACCTTTATACATACATTAATGAATGATTTAGCCACAGATATTTATTTTGGAAGTTTGGTAGCAGTAGCTAGTGCTTAAAATTTTTAAAAATAATCTAACATTGCCAGATTCCACATCTTTGTTTATTAGGGATACTTTGCTCCTGAATATCTAAAATTTAAAGCCATCACTTATCTATCATCTGAGCTCTTGTTTTTCTAGGACCTTATGAAAAATATTAGATAATTCATTCAATCAACATATATTTGTTGAGCATCTATTATGTGTCAGACATTGTTCCAAGGGATGGGAATATGGCAGTCAACAAAACAAAAATCTCTGCCCTCATGGACTTTATAATCTAGTGGTGGGATAGAAAAATTAATGAAGTAAATAAGTAAAAAAATGTAATCCATAAGACACTACTAAGTACTACAGAGAAAAATAAGGCAGGGAAGGGAGAAAGGGACTGTACAAATGATTTAAAATATAGTGATTAGAGAATATTCACACAAAAAGGTAATAAGTGAGTATAGACCTGAAGGAAATGGGAGAGCATATGGTTAGGGCAGAAAACTCATTCTAGACAAAAGGAACAGAAAGTACAAGGGTCCTGAGGTAGGGCTATGTTACAGAACAGAAAGGAGGCTGATGTGGTTGAAGAAAGTGATGATGAAGATTAGGAAGAGAGGTGTGCTAAAGGGGTAACAACAGGCAGTCAGATCACATAGTGTTATGTGTCTTTTTGGGAATGTGAAAATACACATCTACATACATATAAACACATGTTCTTTGTTTATATTTTTAAACAGTTCAGAGAAAGAGGCATTGTAGATATATTGCTTTAACTACTATTCTCAGATCTTCAGCAGTCCTTCCTTCCTTCCTTCCTTCCTTCCTTCCTTCCTTCCTTCCTTCCTTCCTTCCTTCCTCTTTCTCTTTCCCTCTTTCTCTTCCCCCCACCCCTCTCTTTTTTTTTTTTGGGCAGAGTCTCACTCTGTTGCCCAGACCGGTGTGCAGTGGTGCAATCATGGCTCACTGCAGTCTTGACTTCTGGGCCTCAAAGCAATCCTCCCACTTTAGCCTCCTGAGTAGTTTAGCAGATTTTTAATTTTAGATAACTTCTCTCTTAATTCACTTTGTGTATGACCATAATAATACACAGGTTATATACTGTTTTCTGGGTGGTAGTATTATGGCCAAGTGAGCTATTCTTACAGAATTGATTTAATTGTTACATAGCACTACATATTGATAAATGGATCTATCACATGGACAAAATATTTTTCACTTATACTTTTTAAATTTCCAAAAAGCATTTTTCTCTGAAGAAAGATTCTTCTTTCAGGCATATTGTTACATGACTACACAACACTTGCCTTAGAAATCCAGCTGAAATGAATTTGTTAACAACTTCTGTTGAAATGGTATTTAGCTTATAGTTCCATGATCCTTCAGGGACATAAAAAACATGAAGTTCCACCAACTGAATAAATTGAGAAGAACACCAGTTAAAATACTTTTAAAGTAAAAAAAAAAATCAACTGATGTTCTATAGAATTAAGTTTAATAAATACAACAGAAAAAAATGGAATACATACATCCCTCTGAACAAACAAAAAACAAAATGAACTAAAAATTTGTTCTTAAGTTGGCCACTTGGCATTTGGAGTACATTTTCCCTTGGCAACAATGTTATAGATGTGGCTATGAGATTATCTCAACATCTTTGGCATATGGTGTTTTTTCTGTGGTCTGCAGTAAGAATCCTAGGGCATCAAGACTAGTTTTCTTAACATCAACCTTTACCTCACCTCACTCCCCACCTACTCAGTTCCACTGGGGTGAACTTGTGGAATCTTTATCCTTTGTATATTTTCTCCCTATTACAGTTCTGATGATTGCTAGCCCTCAGCACCTGCAAAAGGTTTAATACTGTGGTTTGGGGAATGTACTTATTCCCCAGAATTCCAGGAAGAACCTATTCCTGACCAAGGAGAAAGGAATGATTGTTCTTACATCAGGCATGTCTGTGTGTCTGTGCTTCTATGTAACTATCCACTTTTCCACTGATGTTTCGTTATGCCCTTGATTAGAATCCTTCTATTTAGAAAAATATTTATATAACCAAAACAGAAACAGAGCGATTGCAAATATAGTCTTATCTCCTAATCAAATGAAGTTTGACACTCCCTGCATATTAAAAGTCAAAGCATTTAAATGAATATTCTTGAATGCAATATTAAATATCTGAGAAACCTTTAAAAGTTTGAATATGGCCTACTGTTAATATTAGTAATTTCATAGGAGATAAAAATGGTTCTTGAGCATAAGCTTTTCTTCAAGTTGTTTTTATAAATCAAGAAAATTACTTCTATGCTTTTGATGATGAAATATTAATTAAAAATTTAAAATGTTTGTATAGATCTGATAGTGAAGTTTTCTGTATGTTGCATTTTGAACACTAGAGCACTTAAAAGATTATTCCCTCGCTATACTATTGAATATTTGCAAAACCTTAAGAAATTTGAAGTAAATATGAACTTATCTTTATATAAATATATTAATATTTTACAGGGGGAAACTCTCTCTTGAACTAAATATTTATAAACATGTTTCTTAAAAAATACATTTTAATGTTTTTTTCCAGAACAATAAAGTAGTTGAAAAAATATTTAAAAATTTTAAAGTACATATTAAATCTGACAATATTATTTTAAGGTTAAATATTCTATTTACACTGTCACCCTGATTTATTATAATCTTACTTTCCTGGCTTTAATGGAAGCTGCTCATCAATAATATTTTCATTAAAACCATTAGCTATTTTAAAAATACATTACAAGGTATATATATATACACACACATATATATATGGGGGCACATACTTTTTCTTTTGCCCCAGGTTTCAAAATGATTAGGGATGGCACTGTTGGATTCTGTCTCTTATTTAAAATATTGGTATCTTGTTCATCATGGATTTTTTTGCATTAATTTTACTAAAACAATTTTTTGGTAGCCCCTTAAATTTTTCATCTATGGCAAGTACCTCATTTGCCTCAGACTAGTCCTGGTTTTGTGAGAACTATAGCCAATAAACAATAAATACTGACTTCTAAGAAGTAAAATTAAAAAAAAAATTTTTAAATTAAAAAACAATAAACAAAACACTAATAGATAATATAGATATTATAAAGTGGTAGCTACGAGGGAAAAATAAGTAGGGCGGGGTAAAGAAGAATGGGAAGATATGGAATGGAGAAGTTTTCAGTTTTAAATATTCAGGGTAGGTCTCATGGAAGAGGTGAGATGGGAGTAAAGACCTAAGGGAAAAGAAGGAATTAGCCAAGTGAAGATCTAGAGGGAAAGAGTTTCAGAAAGAGATAAAATAAAGGTATTAAGGTGAGAGCATATCAGTATGATTGAAGCAGAGAGAGTAGGGGAGAGAGTAGTAGAAGATAAGTTCAGAAAAATAAGGAGGTAGAGGGGAAACATATAGCGCCTTCTGAGCCATTTTCACCTATAAAATGGGAAGCTAATGCATGGTTTTAAGAGAAACATTAAGATCTGACATATATTTTTATTTTGTAGGAAAAATTTTAAACATACATATAAATAGAGTAATTCTCTCTCTCCGAATAAAATATTCAAAGTAAATCGGACATCGCAACACTATATCCCTAAATTATTTGGTATCCATATTCTAAAAATAAGGACCTCTGTAACATAATCACAGTTTCATTTTCACATCTAAAAAATTAAAATTCCTTAATGTCAATTAATATCCAGTCCATATTTAAATTTTCCCAATTGTCCTCGAAATATTTTCTTAACCTGGAATTCAAACAAGGATCACACAATGCATTTGGTTGTTACGTCTTTTAAAACTTTCATCTTGAAGAGCTCCCAAACCTATTTTTTGCTTTTTATTTTTAACATGGCATTGACTTTTTAAAAGATACTGAGCCAGTTGTCTTACAGAATGTTCTACATTCTGAATATACTTTATTATCTCTAAGGTGTCATTTAACTTGTTTCTCCAACCTCTCTTATCTCCTGTAAACAGTTAACTATCCAGCCTTCAAGTGACACAGGGGCAATAATATTTTATAAGTGGTGTCCTGTAATTTATATTGCATTATATCAGGATATACATAATGCTTTACTTAATTAGTTGAGTGATAGGGATCATAGCTAGAACAGACTATAAGAGGCAAGAAAAGGGAACTTGTTATGAAGCTACTGGAATAATTAGAGTGTGAGACAATGGTGACTCATGTGCTAGCAGTAAAGGTTATTAAAAAGCAGTCAGATTTTGTATGTATTTAAAAGTTAGAGTCAATCAATTGGAAATGGAGTTTAAGAGTCAAGTAGAAGAGTCAGAGTCAGTCTACTGGAAGTGGAGTTTGAAAGAAGAGTCAAGTAGAAGACTCAAGTATGCAAGAAAAATCAAGTATGACTCCAAGGCATTTGGCCTCAGATACTGAAAGGATAGATTTGACCTTTCAGTATCTGAAATGGCAAAAGTCATGGGTAGTGCAAGTTTTAGGGAAGGGAAAAAAAATCCAGTTTCAGACATATTAAGATGAGATATCTATTGGCCATCCAAGTGGAGATGTCAGTTAGTCAGTTGAATATAGGCCTATGTGAATCTGGAATTTGGGAAAGAGGACTGAGATAAGGCTATAAATTTGGAAATCCTTGGCATAAAGTTGGTATTTAAATCTATTAGACTAGATGAGATCACCAAGGAATGAGTGTAGGCAGAGAAGAGAACAAAGAGCCGAACCCTGATGTATTCCAAAATTAAGAGGTCAGTAAGAAGACGAAGGCCCAGTAAAGATGACTGAGAATGAACAACCAGGGAGGTAAGAAGAAAACAAACATAAAAGAGCTGAACCCTGATGTATTCACAAATTAAGAGGTCAGGAAGAAGATGAAGATCCAGTAAAGATGACTGAGATTGAACAACCAGGGAGGTAAGAAGAAAACAAACATAATATGTATGCTAGAAGCCTAGTGAAGCCTATGTCAAGGAAGAGAAAGTGATTAATGGTGTCAGCTATTGTGCACATATAGATCAAGAATGTTTAGGATAAGAATTAACCAACAGATTTAGTAATGAAAGGGTGAATTTAATGAGAACAGTTTTGGTGGAATAATTGAGATGAAATCTTGATTGCACTTGGTTTAAGAGAAAATAGAGAGAAGGTATTGGGGGTCTGAGATGGTATGACATACTTGTTCAGAAGAGTGAAAGAGTGAATTAATGAGTTGCAGACAGCAAGACTGCCCACCAGAAAAGATTCCATTTGAAATTCATGGTCATGAATTTAAAGTGAGAATGGTACTTATGATGGTATACATTTTTTTTGTCTAGCCATGTTCAGCTGCTCAGGTGTAGGTACAGAACAGGTGGAGAAATGCATTAACCATGTCTGTTGTTTTGCCAAGCAGCACAATGAAGTGACAGAGGGGTAAGGAGTCAAAAGTATGTACAAAGGAGTGATCATGACTGCTCTATGGAACTTAAGCTAGATATGGAGGGTACCACCTTCAATCATACAATTGAGAAATAGTAAAAAAGGTGATAGAATCAATGCATTGGGGATCCCAATATGGTTGGGGTAGAGGAAGTGAGCTAGCGACACGAGAAGTGTAACCAGGCAATGGGATATATGAAGTTGGCATCATGGTGGAGTCAATATCTAATACTTTATATAATTTATGTTTTTGCTTTTATAAAACTTTTCAAAAACAATGATAAGCAGGTCTTTCTTATATTTTAGTATAAAAAGATTTTCTTACCTCTGATGAGGAAGGTCGACTTGGATTGAGCGACATATTTACTAATGTCTGAATGGGATAATTATCAATTTGAATTTTGTTTCTTTTTTTATCTTTCTTCATTTAAGTAGTATTAAATAAAAATTGTAATAGTTTTTTGGCTTAAGATAGCATTCCACTCATTTCTGGTCTCTGATTTGTTCAAGAAATAAAAAGGAAAACACAAAAACATTAAATAAACTAAAAATGAAAACTTAGAAATATATATAATCTTTATTATTCTAACTCAAAAGGACATATTAATAGTAAATAGGACTGTGCAATGAAATGAGTATAAATCTATACAACTAAGTAACGTGACAAATTACACTATAATGGACTTGTGACCAGGACATACTTTACTATTCTAAATAATTCATCTTTTCTTGGTCAAAAATTAAGGTTAAATAGATAGCATTTTACATGAAGTAGAAATACACATTTGGAAGTAGAAAGACAGAATTTATGATACTTGGTTAGGATCAATGACAAATTCTAAGCATGCCTAAAGTTTTAATTAGCCTCTGGGCTAGTTAAAATGGCTATAGAATGATGAAAACTGTTTTACCATATACATTTCTTCTTGGGTTTTGATGCCTCAATAATAAAAAACATGAACAATCATTCCAGGTGAAAATGCCAGTCTTTAAATATATCAGGCTTCATTTATGTATTATTCCCTGTGATTTTCCTCAGGATTTATGGCAGTTTACAAGAATATGATACAATTAAAAATATATAATGTATATAAGAAAAAATAAAAAATAAGGTAGCTGAATTATTACTCTAAAAGGAATTTTCAAAGCAGGATAATCCTTAAGGATACACTAATCATATCAACACAAGAGCTGAAGCTTTTCTAGATTTCAAAGCATTGCTCTTCCTCGATTTATGTTAAAATAAGGATTTATCTCCAACAAAACTTAAAATTCCTCTGATCTGGTACTGATCGTAGCTCTACAAAACCCTAACAAGTACCACTAATTGTTTTAATGGTATCAAAATTAAAAGCTTATCTCCTGAAATATAGCATCTCCTTAAATTAGTTTTACATATTACTTTCCATATTTCTTATAATTAAAACTTAGAATGTGATTTATCATTTTGACCATGTCAAACGCTATTTTAAGTACACATTAGTACTTTAAGAAAGTATTTATATATCTGTACAAAAACTCTGTATGCCACTGTATTAATATTAGCCTCTATTATGAACCTAAGTGAAAGATGACTCAGATACATATATGGTCACTTCATTATTAGATAATAATTAGTTAATAATCTATAATAATTATAGCATAAGGACATTCACTGATTCATTGGTATGCAAGTTAGTAGGCTAAAAGTTTTAATTTGTTACATATTAAAATTTGATATTTTAATTCAGAACAATTTTTTTTTTCTTTTTTTTTGAGACAGAGTCTCCCTGTGTCACCCAGGCTGGAGTGCAGTGGCGCACTTTTGGCTCACTGCAGCCTCTGCCTCCCAGGTTCAAGTGATTCTCCTGCCTTAGCCTCCCAAGTAGCTGAGATGACAGTCGTGTGCCACCACACCCAGCTAATTTTTGTATTTTTAATAGAGACAGGTTTTCACCATGTTGGCCAGGCAGGTCTCGAACTCCTGACCTCAAGTGATCTGCCCGTCTCGGCCTCCGGAAGTGCTGGGATTACGGGCATGAGCCACCAATGTGCCCATCCCAGAACAAATTTTTAATTAAACAAACTCAAGATAGATCAGTCAAGACCTGCTTTATTGTTGTCCTGAGGTAAACCTATACAGGACCCCACTATACAGGTTGAGTATCCGTAATTTTAAAATCTGAAATCTGGAATGCTCAAAAATCTGAAACTTTTTGAATGCTGACATGATGCTCCAAAGAAATGCTCATTGGAGCATTTTGGATTTTGGATTAGGATTGTTTAACCGATATAATGCAAATACCCCAAAATTTGAAAAAATCTGAAATCTGAAACATTTCTGACACCAAACGTTTTGGATAAGGGATACTCAACCTATAGTATCCCTTCTAAAGTAATGGCAAAGAAGCCATGTTTGGGATTTTAAGAACTCCCCCCTTTATCATTTCTGATGCGACCAATGCTGGAGACCAAATCCTGGGCTGACCAGAAACAAACAAAATGTTCTGATGTAAAAAGATGAGCCCTTGGGAATTAGATGTGGGAAAAGGGCTCAAGATTCAAGCGTTAGTAGACATTACTAACAAGAATATAGAAAAGAGAGCCGGGTGCCATGGCTCATGCCTATAATCCCAGCACTTTGGGAGGCCGAGAGGGGCGGATTGCCTGAGGTCAGGAGTTTGAGACCAGTCTGGCCAACATGGTGAAACCCCGTCTCTACTAAAAATAAAAAAATAAAAAAATAAAAAAAAAAAAAATTAGCTGGGTGTGGTGGCATGCGCCTGTAATCCCACCTACTCCAGAGGCTGAGGCAGGGGAATTGCTTGAACCAGGGGAGGTTGCAGTGAGCCAAGATCGTGCTATTGCACTCTAACCTGGGGGACAGAGTGACTCCATCTCAAAAAAAAAAAAAAAGAATACAGAAAAGTCATGAGGCAGTATCACAGCATCATAGCCATGAGGCAAGCCTATGTTACGGGAAAGCTATACTTATCTATAAAGAGATAAAAAAAGATAAAGCATAGAAAAAATGACTAAGTTAACTGGTAGTGAGAAGCAAACTGAGGAAGTAACATAGCTGATTCATGTTTATAACTAAGCACTAGAGAGGAATCAAGAAGTCTTGGGGCTGAAGTATCTAGCCTTGGATCTACTTCCAGTATGGCTTATTAGCATGACAGTTTCTGTTTTGGGATTTACAAGGGATATGTGCCTCCACTGCTGCTCTACATTGATCTTTACCGTAATCTCCTCATTGCTTGTGCTAACTTGAGTAAGCCTTTGCTATTGAAACTACGAGAGGCTAATTAAAACTTTAGGCATGCTTGACTGGCGTGGTGGCTCACGCCTGTAATCCCAGTACTTTGGGAGGCCGAGGCAGGCAGATCACCTGTGGTCGGGAGTTCGAGACCAGCCTGACCAACATGGAGAAACCCCATCTCTACTAAAAATACAAAATTAGCTGAGCGTGGTGGCGCACGTCTGTAATCTCAGCTACTCCAGAGACTGAGGCAGGAGAATCGCTTGAACCCGGGAGACAGAGGTTGCGTGAGCCGAGATTGCACCATTGCACTCTAGCCTGGGCAACAAGAGCGAAACTCTGTAACAAAAAAACAAAACAAAAAAAACTTTAGGCATGCTTAGAATTTGTAGTTGATCCTAACCAAATCATATACTAAATCCTAACATATAATATGTGGGATTTTCACATTTTTTACCTGTTACTAATTAGCTAATGAACAAAACGATGCCAACAATTCAAATGAAAGGAGACTGATATCTCAATAACCAAAAATAAAGTGACTGTCTAATCTTTCATTTACTGCATAATTTTGCTTTACAACTCTACTGCCAGGAATGGAAAATCAATTTTATCTTGCATGCTAATTCCCATCAACTGGTACTGACTATCTAGAAGTGAATTACTAAGTAGGATCCCAAGGCTACATCTCAGTAGGAAATAGTACAGAATCGAATTACCACAGTCAACTATGGGTTTGAGAAGGAGTAACTCTTGGTGGATGTATAACCTATCTGCCATCTCTGATCTAGTCCCTCCTTTCAAAATATCTACCCATCATGTTTTCTCTGCACTTTTCCAAAATGATTTTCAGTGTCAGTAGCAGAGCTGAAAATCAAGCTTAAGAACTTCTGATACTTATTCAGTTTCTAGAAATAAGGATTCTAGTAATTTTTATTTCCTGTTTGATTTGATAATACAGCATACAAAGATTGCTCGATGTACTTTAGAAAATCCTAAATGCTGACATGGGCTATGTTTAAATATATCAATAAAGTAGAATCTCACACAAGGTAATCAGATTGATTGGGAGCCAGAAAAGCAGATTTCTGGTCCCTTATAACCTATAAAACCATTCACTGGTCCAAGTGTCAGTTGCTTAGTGGTAAGTGACTTGAACTCTTCAAAATCCTTTGCAGCTCTAAAATGTTTTGATTACTTGATTGCTCAGGGAATGCAACAAGTGAAAGGGAAACTTACATTCTGGAATAAAAAAATCAGAATACAGTTAACTTTATGACAGATGATGGGAGTATTTTTTCACATAATTCCTGATTCTTAAATCACCAAGGCATGAAGTCTATCTGATCAGGATAGATTCAGGTTATGTGTATGTCCTGGGAGTTCTGCTTTATTTGGTTCCTGGTTAAGCTGTAAATAAAATTCTAATCAATTTAAAGGGTAACCTGTCTTAGGTAAATAGATTAAAATGCCTGAAATGAGGCCAGGTGCAGTCGCTCACGCCTATAATCCCAGCACTTTGGGAGGCTGACGCGGGTGGATCGCCTGAGGTCAGGAGTTTGAGACCAGCCTGACCCACATGGTGAACTCCGTCTCTGGTAAAAACACAAAATTAGTCGGGCATAGTGGCGCATGCCTGTAATCCCAGCTACTGGGGAGGCTGAGGTAGGAAACTTGCTTGAACCCAGGAGGCATAGGTTGCGGTGAGCTGAGATCATGCCATTGCACTCTAGCCTGGCCAACAACAGCAAAACTCCATCTCAAAAAAAAGAAAAAAGAAAAAAAGCCTGAAATGCCTGAGGGCACTCCAGAATCCACAAGCATTTATAGTAGTTAGACTTGTGGAACCAATTGAGGAATGAGGTTTGTTTTCTAGACAGGTCCTAATGTAGACAAAATGGCATACTTGTCTTGATTTGAAACCTTCTCAGGATATATAAGGACATTTTAGAGTGGGGGAGGGTCTCCCAGAGAGTAGCAGAATGATATAGGGTTAGAATCTATGTTGGAAAAGGAATTATAGAGTTAGGTTTCTTTTACTTTGTAATTTTTGTGGGCATGTAGTAGGTGTATATATTTATGGGTACATGAAATATTTTGATACAGGCATACAACGTGTGAAAATCACATCAGGGTAAATAGGGTATCCACGACTTCAAGCATTTATCCTTTCTTTGTGTTACAAAAAATCAAATTATACTCTTATTTTAAAATGTTTAATTATTGTTGACTATAATCACCCTTTTGTGCTATCAAATACTAGATTTTATTCACCTTATCTAACTTAATATTTCTGTCCCCATTAATCATCCCCAGTTCCCACCCTACTACTCTTCCCAGCCTCTGGTAACCATCATTCTACTACCTCCATGAGTTCAATTGTTTTATTTTTAACTGCCAAATAAGTGAGAACATGTGAAGTTTGTGTTTCTGCACCTGGTTTTTTCACTTAACATAATGACCTCCAGTTCTATCCATGTGGTTGCAAATGAGATAATCTCATTCTTTTTTATGGCAGAATGGTACTCCATTGTTTATTTGTACCACATTTTGTTTACTCCTTCATCTGCTGATAGACGCTTAGGCTGCTTTTAAATCTTGGCTATTGTGAATAGTGGTGCAGTAAACAAGGGAGTGCAGATACCTCGATACACTGGTTTCTTTTCTTTTGGGTCTATAGCTAGCGGTGGGATTCCTGGGACATACTGAAGCTCTATTTTTAGTTTTTTTGAGAAACCTCCAAGTTGGTCTCCATAGTGGTGGTACTAATTTACATTCTCACCAACAGTGTACAAGGGTTCCCTTTTCTCCACATCCTCACCAGCATTTGTTATTGTCTATCTATTGCTTAAAAGCCACTTTGAGGAGAGATGATATCTCATCGTAGTTTTGATTTGCATTTCTCCTGATGATCAGTGATGTTGGAACACCTTTTCATATACCTGTTTGCCATTTTTAAGTCTTCTTTTGAAGTGTTTATTCAGCATTTTTGCCCATTTTTAAAGCGGATTATTAGATTTTTTTTCCTATATAGTTGAGCTCCTTATATATTCTGGTTATAAATCCTTTATCAGATGAATAGTTTGCAAATATTTCTTCCCATTCTGTGACTTATCTCTTCACTTTGCTGATTGTTTCCTTTGTAGTGCAGAAGGTTTTCATTTTTATTTTTTAGAGACAGGGCTTCTCTGTTGCCCATGCTGGAATGCAGCGGCATGATCACAGCTCACTGCAGCCTTGACCTCTGTGGGTCACCAAGTAGCTGGGATCACAGGTACATGCCACCATGCCCAGCTACTTTTTGTATTTTTGTAAAGATGGGGTTTTGGCTTTGCCATGTTGCCCAGGCTGTTATCAAACTCCTGGGTTCAAGCAATCCACCTGTTTCAGCCTCTCAAAGTGCTGGGATTACAAGCGTAAGCCACCATGCCTGGTCCTGTGCAGGTTTTTAACTTGATGTAATCCCATTTGTTCATTTTTGCTTTGGTTGCCTGTGCTTGTAGGGCATTATTCAAAAAATCTTTACCCAATCCAATGTACTGGAAAGTTTCTCCAATGTTGTCTTTTCCCTTTTTGAGAGCTGGAGTCTCACTCTGTCACCCAGGCTGGAGTGCAATGGCATGATCTCAGCTTACTGCAATCTCTGCCTACCGGATTCAAGTGATTCTCTTGTCTCAGCTTCTCAAGTAGATGTGACTACAGGTGTGCACCACTATGCCCAGCTAATTTTTGTATTCTTAGTAGAGACAAGGTTTCACTACATGTTGGTCAGGCTGGCCTGAAACTCCTGACCTCAGGTGATCCACCCGCCTCGGCCTCCCAAAGTGCTGGGATTACAGCTGTGAGCCACCATGCCCCACCCCCAGTGTTTTCTTATAGTAGTTTCATAGTTTGAGGTCTTAGATTTAAGTCTTTAACCCATTTTGATTTGATTTTGGTATATGAGGACAGAGATCCAGTTTCATTCTTCTAATATGGATATTCAGTTTTCCCAGCACCATTTATTGAAGGGACTGTCCTTTCTCCAATGTATGTTCTTGGCACCTTTGTAAAAAACGAGTTCACTGCAGGTGAATGAATTTGTTTCTGGGTTCTCTAGTCTGTTCTACTGGTCTGTGTGTCTGTTTTTATGCCAGTTACCATGCTGTTTTGGTTACTATAGCTCTGTTGCATAATTTGAGGTCAGGTAACATGATTCCTCCATTTTTATTTTTTGCTCAGGGTAACTTTGGTGACTCTGGGTCTTTTATGGTTCTGTGTAAGTTTTAGGATTTTTAAAAATACTTCCGCGAAGAATGTCATGGGTATTTTGATAGAGATTGCATTGAATCTGCAGATTGCTTTGGGTATTAGAGACATTTTAACTATACTGAATCTTCCAATACATGAACATGGAGTATTTATGGTTTTCATTGTAGAGATCTTTAACTTCCTTGGTTAATTCCTAAGTATTTTATTTGCAGCTACTGTATATACTTTCTTCTCCAAACTTCAATTTCCTTAGCCATTATAAAAATAGTATAAGCTCATTCTTTGAGAAAGAAGTCAGAATTGTGAAATCCCCCTTTGAAGAGATTCAGTTTTTAGTTAAACTACAAAGTAAGGCATGTGAATCTTATTTATTCAAATTCTGAATTTAGACCTAGTGAACTAAAGAACTTAGGGTATTAACTGAATAAGGTGAAGATCTCAGGTAAATTTAAATTGACAGTGCTCTGCTGACAAAACATAAAGTGACAGATTACTTGGTTGTCTTTTCTTGCCATTTATCGCTACAAGAATCCTCTTGGTGACAAATTGTTTTTACAACAGGCCAGTCTTCAACCAACTGAAGGGTGAGCATCTATGTCTGTACAGTTGGAAACATGTTTGAAATGACCTTACCATTGTGGAAGGTCAAAGGACATTTCCTAAACACAAATTTAAGAGATACAGATAGTTCATAAACTATATTTACTGGTAATCACTTCAGATGCAACGGAACTTACAGTTATCTCAATGGTTTCTTTTTTTCTTTTCTTTTTTTTTGAGATGGAGTCTTACCCTGTCCCCAGGCTGGAGTGCAGTGGTGCCATCTCGACTCACTGCAACCTCTGCCTCCCAGGTTCAAGTGATTCTCCTGCATCAAGCCTCCTGGGTAGCTGGGACTACAGGCGTGTGTCACCACGCCCGGCTAATTTTAGTATTTTTTAGTAGAGAAGAAGTTTCACCACGTTGGCCAGGATGGTCTCAATCTCCACCTCGTGATCCGCCTGCCTGCGCCTGCTAAAGTGCTGGGATTACAGGCGTGAGCCACCGCACCCGGCCTCAATGGTTTTTTTTTTCTTTTGTATCCTAAATAGAGTCTTTAAACACACGCTACAAACAATAATATCTAGTGTTTGAGATAGCAGTCCAGTCTGCAGTTTCCCAATGCAGCAGTTAATAAAAAAGCAATAAATTTTTTTTTTTTCTGAAACTGTTTCGGCCTAAAACACTGTTTATTCCTCAACAGTCTCCCTCACAGAAGTAATTATTGGACCATATATTCCCTAAAATCTCTTCCAGCATTAACATTCCGCGGTTCTAAGAGTTCAGTGATATATTTTACAACTACTGTAAAACAGATCATTCTTTAATAAAGATACTTGTGTTTAATCTTACAAACCTGTAAAGTGTGAATGACGTTTTAGCATTACACAGTCAACAAAGCACCAAAGGTAAAATAATTATAATCCCTTTTGGGAAAAGACAATATTTATTGAGATAGCTTTCATATTCTTTTTATATATAATGTCATTTCATTCTGAAAAACAACTCTACGAAGCTTTATAATTTATTTTGAAATAAGGAAATAAAGCCTCAGTAATTTAAGTAGCTTGCCCAAGAATACCATAAGTAGCACAGCCAGAATTCAAACCCTGGTTTTAACCCCAATCATTAATTACATCCGTACGAATTAAGAAAGATGCTAAACTTACGATGTACATTTTTGCGAACTGATATAAACTGTTGAGCAAGTAATTTAGATTTTGTTGACCAGAGCAATTACACATGCTTCTCTAATAAAAAATTTGAAATCCATTAATGATGAAATTATTCACATTAATGGAAAACATCAGCGCATTCGGAGACTGACTACCCCAAAAGAAATAGGAAACATCTGCCCTTAGTGCTGTGACATCACACACACATTTCCATGGATGAAAGAAAGACGTACTGACTGGCTGGCTGAGCCTATTTTGTTTGGTTAGATTCTACCCTCTCTCCTAAAAACTCCTTTGGGACTCAATTTCAAGCAAGAGGTAATAAATTACAACGGAAATACTAAAAAACAAACTTTCCGGAAACACCAAAACAAGTTTTATTTTAAAAAGTACAATAAGTGTTAATTCTCCAGAGTAAATGGGTAACAGAGTAGACAGGTGTAATCTTCAGCCAGCACCTTGGCTTCTTCACAATCTCCTTCAGAAAAACCGATTCAAGAGCTAAGAAGCCAGTCAAGTCAAACCTCGAGAAGGTCCTTTCTCCAGCGAATCAGCGCCCCTGTTCCCCGCCCGCCCGGCTCCGCTGGGTAGGCGACAGCGACCTCCGCGCCTTCCCTCCGCCTCGTGTCAGCCGGACTGGGGGTTGGGGGTGGAACTGAGAATGCCTGTTGGCCAAACTAGGATCACAGAGAGACACGCCTGTACGGGGCGGGGGTGTGCGGGTGACTCACGCCGGGTGCACAGTAGCTCCTACGCTTCGGTGGGCATCTCCCCTCACTTCCCTCAACCCCTCCCACAAACTCTGGGAGGAAAACTGAGACCTCCTGGTCACCCGCCGCCGGACCTTTTAGAAACTCCCACAGCTCTGACTTCCCTCACTGGCCCTCTTCAGACCCCCTCTTAGGTCTTAGCGGCTAACGATGAGCTGTCTCCTTACCTCTCCCTAATCGGTCCCTCTGCAGAGGAAAGGGGAACTTAAGAGTCCAGTCGCGCTCGCCTCCCCAGCAGAAGCGCCCACCGACTGCTCCGCCCCTTCTCCTCCCCCTCCTCCAGGCTCGCGCTCCTGGCCTGGTGAGGAGCCGGAACAGAGGGTGGGAAAGGCGCGCATGCGCATCGAGGGTGGAGCCGCTGAGCACAAAACCGGAAACTTAGAGACAAAGTTCGGAGCCCCGCCCCCGCCGCGCGCTGCTTAGTTGTCTGGCCCCTCCGACCCACGGCCTACGACCCACGGCCTACGACCCACCGACCCACGAATCGGCCCGGCCGTCGTGTGCACCATGTCTGGCTCCTCCAGCGTTGCCGCTATGAAGAAAGTGGTTCAACAGCTCCGGCTGGAGGCTGGGCTCAACCGCGTCAAAGTGAGCGAGGGCGGGCGGCCGAGGCGGCAGCAGTGGCGGGTGGGATCCGGCAGCCCAGCTGGCGGGGGCGGGCGGGACACGCGCCGGCCCTCGCTTCCCCTGGAGAAGACGCGCGCTCGGCGGCGGCGATCGGGGAGCGGCCAGCTTTAGAGAAGGCGCCGCATGGGTCTAGGCTGTGTTTTGGGGGGACGATTAGTTCGCCCTTCCGCCCCAGGACTTTCCGAGGAGGGCTTGCCCCTGGGCTGAACCGTGGCCCACATTCCGGTCCTCCTCCCTCTCTACCTCCCTTGGCCGCCTTCTCGGCTGGTCTCGCCAACAGCTGCGCCTCCGCTCGCCGTCCGCACCCTTCCTTTCCCACTTCGCCAGCCTCCTGTTTCTCATCGGACAGGGTATTTTCCGACTTTTGATTCAGAGCAGACTTTTCTCCCCCCATTTTATCTTTCCCAAACCTACTTCCTTTAGTATTAAATTCTTACCTTCAACTTCTCTTGTCCATTGAACGCATACTTTTAAGCGAATTATTGCATAACTTAAACTATGGATTAAAGAAGCATTTTTCGACACGATCCTGGAGTGTGAAGTTCCGGTTAGTGCCCCGTACAACCTCGAACAAAGCGTGCATTTCATACCTATGGCACAGTTTGCTCGTATTTGACCTTGGGGGTATCGACTGGTCCGCATGCCCGAGAAAATGATTATTATGGGTAATTATTGGTCTTATTTTTGAGTCTGGTTAGTATTGGCCTTGTCTTGGGGTACTTTGGGAGAAAAAGCGTTTTGTCTGTGTTGATAGAACAACTTGACATTCAAGTGCTATTCTAAGTATTTCCTGATTTTTACAGTCCTGAATGGATTGGCTTCTTTCTAGTACAATAGGTCAGGCTACATGTGAAACACTTCTGCAGTTAAAAAAAGAAACAAGAATGTAAATCATGTGCCCTGTTAAAAGCAGCCAGTTCCTAAGATGATTTGATTTTATACTCACCAGGCTAGTCTTTATTACTTCCTGAAATGTTTTGTGGAGTGAGAGAGGTAGGGTCTTTAAGCTTTCTTAACTGGAAATGTCAGAGACCTAGCTTACTCAGTCGTGGTCACCTCAAAAGGGAAGGGAAATTCTCATTCGTCTTGTTGTAGGATCCCCCTGAGAGAGGGTCTCCCATTTAGCTTTGTTAACTAGAAATGTGAGGGACCTAGCTTACTCAGTTGTGGTCAACTCAGAAGGGAAGAGAAATTCTCATTCGTCTTGGTGTGGGATCCCCCTCACTTAGAGTCCTTGAAGTGCTGTAGACCTCACTGAAGTTTGGAATCTATTTCTCTACTCTCCCAATTCTTACCTCATCACAGTGGTTTCTAGTGAGTCTTGGCTGGATTTGGCTCTGAAATTCGAAATCATTTATTAACCATTATATATCATTCAGGTATGCCTTTATCACAGATAGGATGGACCAAGAAAGAAAAAATGGGGCGGGATAGTGAAAGCAATAAATTGTACATACTTAGTCTCCAAAGAAAATGACATGAGGTCTTCAGACTAAAATACTCCAAGAACTTTACTTTGGAAACCCTGGCTGCTGCTCCCCTAATCCCCCAAAACCGATCCTACCTAAATCTTCAGTAGCCTTCTGGTTCTGGTCGGGATCATTAAAGGCACCAGAAATGATTTGGTTTTGGAGTTACTGCCTGATGTTAAGGCTGTAGCAAGAAGGGGAGCATCCCCGTTGGGACTTTTTAATGAGGTTTTCTTTAGACATGTTGCTAAATGTGGTTTAACATTGTGTATCTGTTTTATCAATGACTGGGCTACGTGATTTTTTGTGAGATTTTTAAACTAGTACAATCTTTTAACCTTTATGTTTGAGTACAGTTGATAGAACTTATCATAAGTGCTTGACAAACTGTCATAGGTAGGTCAGGACATTTTTGAGAGTGAAAAGGGGCACTAATAATTAGGCCAGGATTACAGGGTTTCAACCTCCTGGATGGTGATTGTTACAGTGCCTTGGGGGCTAGCAGCTTGTTCCAGTTTTAGAGTCTTTGTCTCAGCTTTCCTCACTGTTTGGAATGCTGTTTCTCACTGATGGTTATTTGGTTGGATCTCTTGTCATTGAGATCTCAGCTTCAATATCACCTCAGACACCTTCCCTTAGGTGGGCACCCAGTCACCATCTAACCGATTACTCATTTTACTACAGAGCACCTTGTCTGTCATTTTCTCTTAACTGTCAGCTCCTTAACAACAGGGCTCTCTGTGGCTGTTATGTATTCTCAGTGCCTGTAAGTATATGCAGCACATAGTGGTGCTTGGAACTTGTGAAAGGGAGTTACATCGGACCCCACCTACACTTTAAATAGAAAATTAACAGGTACTCTTTATGCTTCCTGCTGGTTAATAGGAATGAAAACACTAAACATTGTTACAATGTTTGGTGAAAAAGGACACCACTGTTCCCCTACTTTAGCTACACTTCTTTTGGAAGGGAGGGGATGAGCGGGTTTAGTCATTTGTAAAAATACTTCTTTTACATAGGAGCTATTAAACCTATGGAACTCATTACCCTGGACTGTTGTATAAGCCAGACACACAAATAGATTCGATAAGCGTTTAGATTCATCTTAGGATGATGAATTATTTTATCAGGTTGGAGGTACAGCTGTAATCTGCAGGGGTTCTTGGTATAGAGAACATTTGTCATGCTATTAATTCCCTAAGGTCACATATCCAGCTGGATGGACTGGACACCTGCTCCCAGCCTCCTTGCGGTAAAGACTGAGAATAAAATAAATGAGTATTTCTCCCACTTCTTAAATCTCAGTTCAAGACTTCAGATATTAGATGCATTTTGAGCATGTTTTATTCATGTTCCACGTCTGAACGGTTCAGTTCATTGTTTTGGTATTTGTCATCAACTATTTTAATGTTATTAAACTAGACAGTGACAGATTTCTGCCCAGTGTCATGTGACTGAAAGGCTGATAGCAAACATCAATTTAACAGTTTTTCTGAGCAGCCTGCCTTTAAGAAACTATTGACTTAAATATGATTTAAGTGTTAATATACATATACAGAGCCACCCAAACAGGACTTAAGGAACTTCTATGGCTTTATGGTTATTTTGTTTATATCCTACATCACCTTAGCAGAATATATAGAAATAGTAGATGTCTAAGTGAAAGAATGCATGCCTCTTTTAATTTGTTTTAGTTTAAATGCAACAGTATAAGGGTCTGATAAATTTGAGGATCAGTATACTGAATGCATTCTTATAGTGTTTGCATTTCTAAATTATGTGCTATCCCACATTATGTTCATTCACAGTAGCATTTTTCCAGTAATACTGCTTTCAACACAAAATAATAGTTTGCTAGAATGTTATTGCTTTTTAACCTTTAATTTTTTTTTTAAGAAACAAGATGTTAAGTTCCCTCAGGTTTGCACTTGAACAGCCTATTATTAATAAGATGTGCTGTGCTTTGCAAAAATAAACATAATTCTACTGTTTGTACTCAGTCATCTGATGCTTCTAGTAACCAAACAAAAGAAAACATACTTTAAATCAGTCTTATTTACAAGCATTGGTTTTAAGTATTAAGAGCTCACTAGGCTGGGTGCGGTGGCTCACGCCTGTAATCTCGCACTTTGGGAGGCCAATGTGGGCAGATCACAAGGTCAAGAGATCGAGACCATCCTGGCCAACATGGTGAAACCCTGTCTCTACTACAAATACAAAAATTAGCTGGATGTGGTGGCAGGTGCCTGTAGTCCCAGCTACTCAGGAGGCTGAGGCAGGAGAATCGCTTGAATCCAGGAAGGGGAGGTTGCAGTGAGCCGAGATCGCACCACTGCACTCCAGCCTGGCCACAGAGTGAGACTCCGTCTCAAAAAAAAAAAAGAGCTCACTATATGACTTAAGTCTTCAATTATTATATAGTATCTTCTTTTGAAGCAAGAGAAGTACTGTTTTATTGGAAGTACAATATTTCCAAAGATTGAGAAAACCGTCATTAAAATGTTCTCACCATCTGGCACTTCCCTCCCCTCTTTGTTATGTATAGGTTTCCCAGGCAGCTGCAGACTTGAAACAATTCTGTCTGCAGAATGCTCAACATGACCCTCTGCTGACTGGAGTATCTTCAAGTACAAATCCCTTCAGGCCCCAGAAAGTCTGTTCCTTTTTGTAGTAAAATGAATCTTTCAAAGGTAAGTTTCCTTAAATTAAAACCAAAAACCCACATTGTAGGAATAACTAGTCTTCTCTTTCTTTGCAGCACTTAAAAGGTCATCCCATGCCCTTTCCTTTGGCCCTCCATTTCCAGTATTTTTCTGTTTTGCAAGGAAAGTAAGGATTCATGAAACTTGCTGACTTAGTAGTCATGAAGGCTAATCGTTTCTATTTTACTATAAGAAGGTTAAATAGAGGATTTAATAACCATAAAGAGGGTATAGGAGAGTTACTACAAAATCCCACTGCTGTAACAAGCCATCTGTCACTTTTTAGAGCATTGGCCTAATGGCATATGCATCTTGGGAGTCCCCAAGTACTAGTTTTCTTTTTGTGTACCTAGCAAATATTTATAGACAGTTTTTAAAAAAACTGCATTGTTTATGGGGATAACGTAAAGTACTACCAACTGATTTGGATTGACTCTGATGTTATTGCTCTAACTAAACCCAGCTGTAGAGCAGTATAGCAAAGATTGGGAATTGGAAATGCAAGAGAAAATCAGATGTAATTGAGTAAGCCAGTGTGGTAAAGGCGTTTGGACTGAGGTAGAACAGGCTTTATGTTTTGTTCTCATTTGTTGGATTAAAGATGAAACATGAAGGAAATGCAGTATATGAGTTCTTGGTGGCAAACAGACAGTGGACTGAATTTCAGAGAATTAAAAACTAAAGACCCTGCTGGCTTTATTAAAGCATGCT